ACTGAATTGAGAGACCCAGAAATTTTTTACCTTAACATCAGTCAATTGCATATTGTTCATTTTCATTGATGAATGTGATTGCCTTTTTAACAATGCAAAACTGCACTGAATTCAGTTTTTTTTGTATTCTATCAATTTGTTAAAAACTAATTGGAAACATCTGAAATCATACTAGTTTCTTTTTTACAAATAATATTTATGACATCAGCAAACATATCTATTCTTTTGTTTCTATTGGATGAGAGCTTATTGTGAAAGAAAGAATATTGGGCATATGATCAAATTCTACAAAACCACATGCTCAGATGGCAAAAAGAGAAAGATGAATAAATAATGTTCTTTTGTGCTAGTATGGTGCTTTTACTCTTTGTAATTGATGTTTAAGATAAAAGAATATCTCATCCAGGGCAATTCTACAAAATTCACTTGAAAATAATTTTCCTTTTTCAAAAGGATCTAAAAATATTGCTCTCATGTGCAATCAAAAGTGCAACACTTATCCCAAACCCAAGTAAAGGTCACAGAAGTTACATGAACAAACAAATATTTTACACAATAAAAAGCAAAATATCGATTTTGTTGATAAAAGGTACAATCATGCAATTTCCTTACAAGCTATCACTACTTAAAATATGGATAATTTTGTAAAAATTAAAATTGTAAGGAAATTCTGCGCAGTAGATGAAAAAATTAATGAAAGTTGCATTGAGAACACTTCCAAAATTATGTAATAAAACTATCTTTTCAAAAAGCAAACTCTCTCATACTGTAATTTGTTATCTGATACCATTTATAAATCACTAAAAACAATAATTAACTAATTTAATAAGTGTAACTACTGCACAAAACATTTTGAAGAATAAAGTTGTCTCACAACACAAAATATTTTTTGGAAATCTTTATTAAATAGTTTGCAATCATGTAAGTACCCTTAACAAGTTAAAGAAAGGCACAATTTTATTGACAGTAAAAAGAGATAATGACACTGTCTTCAGCAATGAAACATTCAAAGCAGAGTTTGTTTTTTTACACAGTAATACACTTATGAAACCTGAAAGAAATACTTATTTTTGAATGGTAAATTAAGAACGTTACAATAAATAATGAGCAAATTTAGTAATCTTATAAATCTATATTTAATTTGAAATATTTCACTTAGAGCTATGAAGTTGTTTTTTCAATACTAGCATTCATTCAAGATAAATTCTGCAATGATTTATAAATGCATTATTCTTATCTGAGAGGCAGATTTGGTATTTACATATTATAAATAGAAAAAGGAATTTGCATGAAAATATCTATGCTTCCTAATCGTTTCTGGATATAAAAATGTTTCTGGATATTCAAACGTAACTATGGTATAATATAGTTCAGAATAATTACTTTGGAAGTAAAAGGAACTTAATAATAATTTTTTCTTCATTTTGAAGAAATATATAATTCTTTACCTATCTTCTTGAATAACATTATAAATTATTATACAACAATACAACTTTTCAATACATAACATTTAAATTCATTTTTGTTCTTCAACAACAATTGCAAGACAGTGGGTCACCTTCTTACAAATGTTTCTTGACCATCAAATACATTTTCATGGACATAAATTTGCAATTAAAATTGTTACTACAGCAAATGGACTTAAACATTCATATCATAAAATACACTTGGGATCTTTTGGTTCAAATTTTTTTCAGCATGATTCATTACACATTTTTTTACCATATTTACATCAGATTCATGATGAAAGGAATTATGATTTATAGGTGTATTTATTGAAAAAATAATTTTGTAAGTAGGAGACCCGCCGAAGTTCTTGAAGCAAAACTGGGAGGAATGCCAATGAATATAGCATTTAATGTAAAGAATGAGCAATATGTACACACAATACATATTCTAATTTTGTGAAAATATGTATATATTTGTCTCTGTTCTTACTAGAATGGAGTATTCACACTGAGAACCATTCTGAACTTAGGTACATGATTATAATTAATCTAAGCATGGCAAATTCACACCATCAAACATTCTGCATGGTTTCTCTCTTGACATACATACAAACGTATTATAAACAGGCCTAATGACTTTCATATAACACATTCCAACATACACTTTGGCATTTGTTTGGGTAATTTTTACAAATTCATACGTATGTAATAGGTACAGAAAACACAACAAAACAAGATCCATATCAATTTGATTATGATGTAAAAACATGAAACTTTGGAGACTACTTCATGAACCACTAACTCTTTAACAGTATACCATTTTAATATCACAGTCAATATATACTATGTTAGTAGTTTAGTACTTGGTTAGTGGCAAATTAAAATGTACTATTAACAGAAGTCAGCAATATAAATAGTGAACCAGGAAGAAAGTAGAAGGATAAGATTCAGGTGCACAGTCCCACAGCCTCCACACAACTCTATTTTGTCCTCCTAAAAGAAATAAGAAAGTTATAGAACTTCTACACAGAAAAGTTTCAATGAAGAAAACTAACAAAGACAAAAATCTACCACTACAATGCAGTTGTTTGCTTACTGATAATTAGAGCCCGAAAGTTCAGGTATTTACTTTTCCTAAAATAGGCAGTCAAAAAGACATTCATTTTTACAAAGATAGGCAAAAAAAGAAAGCATTTATTCAAGCATAAGCAGGGGTGCAAAAAGGCAAGTAAACAAAAAAAACACACATTTAAAAAGCATTATTTAAAAAAATAAATAATTAAAAGTATTCACCATTTTATTCTAAATAAAATTGACATTAGCACTTAACATGTAAGAAAACAATCTTTTCATGGTATTCTCGATTCAACATGACCACACAGTATAATGCCTACGAATTTGTTTAATTCATTATGCTGTCTATTCGAAATTATATTGTGGGCTCCCTTTTGAATATTAAAATGGCAATAATGAACATGGGATTATACTTTTCATTCTTTGCATTTGTGTAATTGCCAGCATTACCACCAAGAATGGTATATCATACTCTGAGAGATGTCGTCAAAAGGTATCCGATACCATATTCAAAGTAGGATGTAAGTAGAATCCTCATGAGTGTACTAAGTCTGTTGGCATCAATGAACAAAATCACAAATCTTGACTAGTGTCCTTTTCTTTTTTTATTTCGATTGTTAACAATGCATCTCTTCTACAGAAAGACAAAATAAGACTGGCCCTGTGTGTTGTCTAGGCTAGCGGATATATATACAGCTTCAGCAAGATCGGTGAGAGGAGAAAACAGCAAAATAATTACGTAGAAGGCAGAAAAGGCACAAATAAGACAAAATGGAAAAAATAGGCATCAGAAGCTAAAATAACCAGAAAAAGGAAAAATACAAATCTACTAAAACAACTTCAGAAGCACACTCAAGTGATTCTTAGTGTCAAAAGTCATGAAATAGTAACAATAACAGAAAGGCATTTTGCCAAACTTCCGGGCTTTACTGATAATATTGACAGTGAAGAGTGTCAGTATAAAAATCTCAAATAAGAAGCTACAACTAGTGCAAACTAATAAACATAATAAAAAACACATTTTGACTTACATCTCTATGATGTGAAATGCACGATCTCGGTCTTTGCCTCCTCTGCATATTTTCAACTTTGAAACAAGCCAATGAACTTGTATTATAAAATACTTCAACTGGTGCAACAGATAACTTTTCAGATTCATCAGGCGTACAAACTTTGTCCACAACCACAAGAATCAAGTTACTTTGATCTATAACTTGCACTTCAAAAAATCTGAAATAATAATAATAATAATAATAATAAGTGATAATATAATAATAATAATAATAATAATAATAATAATAATAATAATAACAATAATAATATAATTAATAACAACAACCAACATCTGTAACAAAAACTGCAATAACAATACAAAATAAAAATTAATGCTCTTGTGTCTCACTGTTTTATAAACCAAAGGCATTGAAGTACATTAATGGAAAAAGAAAGCTCACATTTACACACAAAAAAACAAAAATGTTTTTCATATTAAAATATTCTTGATAAAAGACTGAACACATCTGATCAAATTTTAAAGTTCCATATCTTTTTGCTCCACAGCATCTAAAGAATTTTATAGAAGTAAACTGAAAATAATTAATGGTGAATGAAAAACATTAAACAAGTTCCAGAACATGATTTGGTCTTTAAAATGAATTTTAAGTATATTAAGATAGATGGAAGATATATAGAAGATTTTAATAAATACCTTTTACATTTCACTGAATCAAATGGTTCTTTATTTTCTTGTATTGCTCTGGGATTCATTTGATATAAAACAACCTCCTTATCACATGGTTGAGGTCTTGTCCGATTAATTGTCCACCTCTCATATTGCTTTTCATTTCCTTTATTATTTTCATTCATACCCATTTCTGAAGAACCATTGTCGTCTTCACCTTCCTCAGAATATATTATATCTTCATATGTTAAAAACAAAGAAATAATATTTCAAAATTTGGGGATTAATAAATATTGTATTGTCTAAACAATGTGTTGCTGTGGCACCTAAGAATACTTGCCTTCATCTGAAGCATAAACTCTGCTATCAAACCAGAGAATGTTCAAATTGGCATTTGCAAACACCCAAAATATGTACCCAATGGTCCATTCAATCATCCATTTTAAATGTGCCAAAGGCTAGTAAATATAAAATACATTGAAAACTTAAATAATTACCAGTACATTATAACGTGAGAGATGTTCTTTTCATAAATTTGCAGTTTCTATTCAAATGACCTTAAGCTTATTATTTTAATTACTAGAAAGCAATCAATTATTGGTAGGTTTTAAATTTAAAAGAAAAAAAAAGAGATCCTCTAATAAAATATGCTTATCAGATTTCTTTTATCAAACAATTTCAGTTCAACATTAATGGGCAAAAAAATCCAAAAATAAATGCAAGATACAAATCAGAACTTACTGTCACAAAATATGAAGCACAATTGCCTGTTGATTTGGGACGGAAGCACACAGCTTGATAATCGAAAATGCGTATTCTTTTGAACATGTTTCGGTTGACCATTTCTTCCATTACTGATGCCCTAATTTCTCCAAAAAATTTTCCAGTATCCCTTAAAGACTCTGCTACAACAACATAGCCATTATTGTCAACTACATAGCACTCAAGTTCGTTTGAGGCACAAGTTTTGTTGTTGTGTTTGTCAGGACAATCCGGACACTAAAAAAAGAAAACAGAATTATAAAATACCAAGCTTAAACTACTGTTGAGTTAATACTGTAGTGGAAAGAAAGGAAATAAACATATTTAAATGATAGTAATGAATAAGCTTACTGAAAATTACTTACAGTTGAAGTGATGTTAAAAAGCATTCTATGTAGTGCTGAATGCCTAAACTGAAAACCTATCACTGCTGCAGGTGCTTTCCAATCATCATCTGGTTTTGTGTGAAAAATAGCATAACTTGCAGTGACCAGAGTGCCATTCTTATCACCTATAAGAAATATTGAAAATTACGAAGGCAAAATTGCTATACTTTTTAGAGCATATGTAATTATTTTTAATTCAAAAGAAGATACTGATGATGATAGGATTTGAATGATAACAGATCATAGAATAAATAGTGGGGGAATGAGAAAACTTGCTGCAAACCGAAATTCCACAAGGATTGATTGCGATTTGAACTTTGGTAGGTACTGAAATGTAAAGAGTGATCTGATCACTATGCCATGGTTCACTCCACTACTACTAAATATAACTTTATAAATGTTAAAAATGGCTCAATTTATGAGCTAAAATTAAGACATAATCTCACCTGCTTCATATGGCACCGAATATACATAACTGTGTGGCTGTATGAAATGATAATCCACTGCTCGTTTGTACCAAATTTCATCAATGGCTCTATTATGAATTTCACTAAAATGTCTACAAGGAAGAAATAATTATAATTAAAAAATTTTCAAAAATCATTAAATTTTATTATTTCTAATTAATTATATTACTACTATTAAAACAATGGTCAAAATAATTAAATTCACAATTTATATATTTTACCCCAAGCCATAAAAAGTATCAGTAACTACAATCGAAACATTGCTTTAACTATAGCAACTATTACAGAACCAGAAAATAATATTCATGCATTTTCACCATTAACAATAAACATGAAGCCAAACCGCTAAAAAATTCATAGAGAACTGTAATTAACTAGCAATTAAATAGTTCTAAATAGTGGCATATTGATTATGCCAGTGATTGCTTAAAAGAAATTATTTATACCCTCACATTACAAGCATTAACAGCAACAACAACAAGAACAACAACAAGAACAACAACAAGAACAACAACAAGAGGAAAACAACGACGACGACGACGAAGATGAAGAAGAGGAAAACGACGACGAAGAAGAAGAGGGACACGACGACGACGACGACGACGACGACGAAGAAGAAGAAGAGGGACACGACGACGACGACGAAGAAGAAGAAGAAGAAGAAGAAGAGGGACACGACGACGACGACGACGACGACGCCGTTTTGTTGTTCCCCTCTTCTTTCTTCCTTCTTTCGTCCCCTCCGCCCGTTATCGTCCATGCGTCCTCTCGACGCTCCTGTCCGCTTATGTGTGTCCCTCTTCTGTTCTTCTTCCTTCTTCTGCATATACCGTCTCCGTCCTCGTGTCGTTGTCCCTCTCTTTCTTTTCTTCTTCTCTCTTCTTCTTCTTCTTCTCGTCCTGTCTTCCCGTTCTCCTCAGTCCGTCGTCGTGTCCCTCTTCTTCTCCTTCTTTCTCTTCGGTCGTCCGTTGTCGTCCGTGTTCCTCTTCTTCTTCTTCTTCGTTTCCGGTCGTTTCGTCCGTGTGTCCGTCCGTCGTTCGTTCGTGTTCCCTTTCTCTTCTATCGTTCTTCT